CGGGCCGCAGGCCCCCCGCCACCCACGCTACCTCAGCCCTCACCTTCCCGTCGCTCTGCCGCTTCCCCAGCTTGGTCTCCTCCGGGTGGTAGAACCACTTGACCTTCACCACCATGTTGCTGCCCCATGACTCCCACATGCTCTCAATGCGGCCGATGTAGGGCAGGTTGGGCCGCCCAGCCGACAGGAAGACGGCACAGTCCCCGATGCGCAGCGTCTCCTTGCCCCGGACGATGGCCTTGTAGAACAGCTTCCTGGCTTTCCCCTTCATGCCCCGCCTCTGCAAGGGAGACAGCCAGAGGCAGACGGCAATGAGGGGCCCGGGGGTCTTGGGGGCAGGCGGCAGCCGGGAGGTGCAGGAGAGAGAATGACACAGAGGGAGGGACGGAGGGACGGATGGCACCTCTCATGTGCAAGCGTGCGGGCTGGACAGGGCGCCCCAGTGCGGGAGGGGGGCCACACCAGCACCTGCCCTGCACGCTGGGTCGCGACCTCAACGTCACCACCAACTGAGAAGGAACGTGGGACCTGGAGGTTGGGAGGGGAAGCAGCCACGAGCTGTCCAGCGCGGTGTGGCTCCCGGGGGCAGAGAGCCGCGAACAGCTGCGTGTCCGTCCCCGGAGCGCAGCGGGCAGCCCCCCGCCCCCCCCCGCCCCCCCCCCCGAGCCGCCGCCGTGTGCACGGTCACGGAAAGATGTGCTGCTGCCACAGGGGAGACAAAGCCCGGGTACCCGCCCCGCGGCCCCGCACAGGTGGAGGCCTCGGAGGGGACGCGGCGGCCGCGGCGATCTGCCTGGTCTCGGCAGGCGGGAGCTTCCGTTCTTCCCAAAGTTTACTTTTTTTTTTTTAAGTTGAAATGAAAGAGAAAAACCTAAAGCAAGAAGAGGGAGAGGGAGCAGGCCGGCTTGGGGCAGCAGGGGCTCCGGCCGGGAGGCGGGCGCACCTACCTGCGTGGGGTTCCCCGACCACTTCCAGAGCTGCCGGGCGGGCAGGAAGGCTGAGATCTTTGGCCGGTTTTCCACGGAGGGGAGCCGCTGCCTCCGCGGGAGCTCTTTGGCTTTGGAGAAGCTCAGAGCCTCCTTGCGCTTGAGCTTGGACTTGCTGCCGCTGGGGCCCGAGCCCGCGCCCCCGCCGGCCCCCGCGGCCCTGGACAGGAAGCAGCGCTGGGCGTGCGCGTGGGGCCCGCCGGCCTTGGAGCGCAAGGCCTCGGGCTGGGCCAGGAGGGCGGGCACCGGGTGGGACAGGCAGGTCTGCAGCAGCAAGGCGGGGTCCTCGTCATCCGAGCTGTAGGAAGAGCCCTCGTCGTCCGAGGTGCAGAGGCTGGAGGTGGACAGCGAGCCCGAGGACGACGAGGTGGAGGAGCCTGAGGAGGAGGACGACACGGACAGGCGGGCGAGGAAGCGGGAGGGCGCGCCGGGGGCCAGCCCGGGCCCATCCTCCTCATCGTCCGAGTAGGAGCTGGGGCAGTCGCTGTCGCAGGGCAGTGGGAACTCGGCCTGGCCCGCGAACTTGCGCAGCGCCAGCCCCATGGGCAGGGGGTGCATGGGCGCCCGCCCCTTCCTGTCCTTGCCCACGAGGGCCGGGTGCGCGTAGCTGGGGCTGGGCAGGGGCCGCCCCAGCTTGGGCCCGGGGTCCTTGTCGCCCAAGAGCAGCGCCTTGCAGTTCTTGTTCTTGGGGGAGGTCACGCCCTCGTGGTCCAGCTTGACCAGGAACTCGCCGCCCGCCCGCCGCCGCGCTCCCTTCTCGGCCTCTGCGCGCTCGGCCTTCTTGGCCCGCAGCAGCCTGTGGGCGCCCCCGGGCAGGCCCGGCCCGGCCCCGCCGACGAAGGGGGCGTAGGCGCTGGCCAGGCTGCTGAAGGAGTCGGCGCGGAAGCCGTTGCCGAACACGGGCGCCGCCATGCTATGCACGGGGAAGAGCGCCTCGCGGGCCCGCAGCTTCTTGGTGCTGCCGTTGAGCTGGAAGAGGTTCTGCAGCGCGGCCGGCCCCTTGCCGCCCGCCGCCGCCGCCTTCCGCTTCGTCTGCGCCACCGCCGACCAGCTCAGCAGCGGGCTGCCCCGGCGGCCCAGGAGGTGGTCTGAGGCCCCCGCGGGGGGCTTGGCACCTGAGGTGAGGAGCTCCGCTTTGCCTAGGGGGAGGCCAGGTGGAGTCAGAGGCCCCACCTGCCCCGCCCGGGCCCCCCCCACCCGAGGGGCTCCCCCACCCGTGTCCTCCGCACTCCCGTGAGTACCGGCTTTGTCTTTGCTGACGGACTTCTTCCCGGGGGCCTTGGAGGCTTCAGGGCCGTCGTGCGCTTTGGGGGACAGGCTGGGGGCGGGGGCCTCGCCGGGCGGCGGGGCCTCGAAGGAAGCCTTCTTGGTCCTCCGGCAGCTGCTGGACACCAGCAGGGCGGGCGAGGGCTCGGTGCCTGCAGAGTGGACGCGCGGCCTCAGCACTGCAGCCCGGGGAGGCCCAGCCTGCCTCCAGGCCTGGGGGGCCCCGGGGCTCCCCGCCCTCCCCACCTGGCCCCGGGGCTCACACTGGATTTTGAAGTCCGGAGGCAGCAGCCTGATGTTGGAGATGGCGATATGGCCTGTGTCGCCGTCATCAAACTCCACGACCACAGAGTCCAGGTCCTCCTCCTCGTCGCTGCAGGTACCTGGGGATGAGGCTCACCTGAGCACCAGGCCCCCTCTCCGGGTCTGTGCGGTTCTCCGCGACCGCCAGGTGGCCGGGACAGGAGGACGACGGGATGGGCTCCTGGCGCCTCACAAACGACATCGCGACAACTCTGCCCCCGATCACGTCCGACCTCGGAGCTGCCACGGCCGCTGGGGAAATGGACAGCCTCCCCCTGCGCCTCCTGCGGCTCGGCTGGAACAGCTGCCCCATGTCCGCCGTCTGTCACCCCCACCCTGGGGCCCACACACAGGGACTCGGGGCCCTGGCCTCCCCCAGCCCCCCCCACTCACCCCCTGCCTGGGGGGCAGTCAGGAGGATTCACCCCAGGGGGCCCCGCGTTACCAGTTCACGAGCCCCAGCGCTGGGGCTCTGGGCCCCTTCCCTGCCGGGCCACGTGGACAGCCAGAGCCGCCCGCACCGTCCCCACCCCGGGCACCCCCTCGTCTTCTCCCGGTGCCCAGGGAGCTGGCCCCATTGCCGGCTCTGTCTGCGGGGGGCCCTCCCACCTGCAGCTTTGCCCGAGGGGCTGCAGGCGGCCTCGACGGGAGCGGGGCTCACCTCGGACCACGTTGCCTGGATACAGACAACGGGACTTCTGGCTCCAGTAGGCGCAGACCCTCGTGCCTGGTGGGAGGTAGCGGCTGGACTGCGGCCGGACATCCAGAACCTGCGGGACCGGCAGGGACGGGAGGCGGGCTGTGAGTGGGCAGGCGGGGCGGAGGGATGCCCAGGGCGGCGGGCCACGCGGGCGCCCCTGCACTCACGGCCTCCTGCAGCAGCTGCTCCAGAGAGTAGATCCTCTGCCGGTTGCCTCTCTCCCCCTCAATGACAATGCTGTAGCTGGGGGGCAAGGCGGAGCATGAGGGCCCTGGTGTCCCCGGCCGCCCCCGCCCCCCTGCCTCGGCCCGGGCCTCACATGTCGGGGGGCTGCAGGGTCCTGACGCTGCCCGCGTACAGCAGACTGTCCTCCTTGGGAATGAGCACGGGCAGCCCGTCCTGCAGGTCCTCCTTGTGGATGGTGCACGAGCGCGCTGAGGGGACAGGGTGTCAGCGCCGGCCCCGCCCCGGCCCCGCCCCCGGGCACCCAGGGCCACGCCCAGGGCCGCTCACCCAGGGCTGCGCTCTGCTCGGCGCTCAGAGGCCGGCTGGCCGCTCTGGGCTCCTCCTCTTCTTCCTCCTCTTCCTCAAAGCTGCTGTTGTCGTCAAACGCAAAATCGTCCTCCACAGCAAAGCTCTCCAGCAGCCGACTCACGGCCCGGCCCTTGCCCTGGGGGGCCAGAGGGGTCAACTCCCTCTGGAGGTGGGGGTGGGAGAGGTCTGCGCCCTGGCCGGGCGCCCGGGGGGTAGGGACGCTACCTGCTTGCCGACAGCCTTGCTTTTCACCTTGCCCACCTTCCTGCCCTTCCCCAGGATGGCCTTGGCATTGCGTGGTGACAGGGCGATGGACAGGGCCCCGTTCTTCCGCTGTTAGGGGCGGGTGGGAAGGAACCGAGGTCAGGATGGCACCAGCCTCCCAGCTCACAGCCAGCCCAGGGTGTGGTGCACGCTGACCCCGAGTGTGACCTGAGTGTGAGTCCAGGGGTGTGAAGCACGCTGACCCCAAGTGTGAGTCCAGGGGTGTGATGCACACTGACCCCGAGTGTGACCCAAGTGTGAGTCCAGGAGTGGGACATGCTGACCCCAAGTGTGAGTCCGGGGGTGAGTCCAGGGGTGTGGTGCACGCTGACCCCGAGTGTGAGTCTGGGGGTGAGTCCAGGGGTGTGGTGCACACTGACCCTGAGTGTGAGTCTGGGGGTGAGTCCAGGGGTGTGATGCACGCTGACCCCGAGTGTGAGTCCAGGGGTGTGATGCACACTGACCCCGAGTGTGACCCAAGTGTGAGTCCAGGAGTGGGACACGCTGACCCCAAGTGTGAGTCCAGGGGTGTGGTGTGCACTGACCCGGGGGAGGCCATAATGAGCAGGGAGAGAGAGTGGGGTGAGGGCTCCTTTGGCATCTGGTGCCCACCCGCCGAGCCCAAGAGGGCTCCATCAGGGTGCCCAGGAGCCCACGGCGCCCGCTGACCCTCACCCGCAGTCCCGGCTGGAGGATTGTGCTCTTGCGTGTGGCTCTTTTGAGACGCTCGCTGGCCAGCTTGCTGCCCTCCTCACGGCAGGTGAAGGCCCGGGCGGGGCTGAAGAGGGTGTCCCTGCTGGGGGTGGCCCCCGGGTCTGCCCGCAGGCTGCCTTTGGCCTTGCCCTTGGCTTTCTTTTTGCCTGGTGCGCCTGGGGGCCTGCGCCCTGGGGCCCGCTCCAGCTTGGTGCCCACCTTGGCCTGCACCGTGCGCCTCTTGACCTTGACCTCGCTCTCTGGGCTGGACAGGCGGCAGGCCCCTGTGGGGGGAAGGCGGCTGTCACAGGGGTCCCCGATGCTGGGACCCCCACCAGCTGGCTGACCCCTGGCCCACCCTTGCCTTCGGGTTACCTAGCAAGCCCTGCCTCTCCTTCTTCTTCTTGGCCTTCTGGTTGGCCTCCATCTTGACCACGGAAGAGGGTGAGGGCCCCAGCATGGCCACGCTGGCCCCCGCATGCAGCACCAGCCCGGGCTCCTTGGGGGGTGCCTCTGTCCCCAAGAACCTTTCGCAGTTCTCACTGTCATAGCCACTGCCTGGGGGAGCCAGAGGGTCCAGATGACTTGGTGCTGGAGGAGCACCATGCTGGGGTGGGGCTGGGGGAGCCGATCGTCCGTGCACACGTGGTATGTTGGGGAGCTGTGGGGGGGCCCGTCACTGTTGCCCTTGGGGCTACTTTAGGGGTCAGGCACCTGGGCCAAGCGTCCAGGATGGGGAGGGGAGGGGCCCCTCTCTGATCTTCCTCTCCTTGCCTATTTTCCTTTCTTGTGCCCTGGGCAGTGGGGCGTCCGCCTTCGGGCCTGGGGATCCCCCTCCCCAGGACAGCCCCTTCCCCTTACTGCCCTCCTGCTTCCTGCTTCCTCTTCCCCTCCCTTTGTTGTTTCTCAGGCGAGAACTTGGTGGGGGTGGGCAAGGCCTGGCGGGGAGGAAGCATCTATTTTCCCAGGCGCCTGTTTCTGGACATGTGGGTTTGCTGGGGGCCAGATAACCCTCCGGGTCAGGCCGGCCGGACACTGCAGGAAAGCAGCCTACAGCGGGCAGAAGGGCTATTTTTAGCCCCCCTTCCAGGATGTGTCCAGGGGCCCCTTTCCCCGTGGCCCTGCAGAGAGCCACTGGGCTCAGCCGTGGGGCGGGGGCTCCTTCCCCAGCGGCTGCAGTGGGTCTGGCGCCCTCCAGGAGCCCTGACCTGGCTCTGATGGCCGTCTCAGCCCGTCGGCCCTCTCCCCCAGACCCCGAGGGACCGCAGCTGAGGTCCTGGCTGGGGCGCTCACACCAACCACTTGCCTGCCTCCTGCACTGCGGCCACCGCTGCCTGGCCCGGGAACTTGGGCGTCTCCCTGCTGGCGCCGCCGTCCTCTGGCTGTGCGTGCCGGGCTGCCCCCGGCACCTTGGTGCCCTTGGCTCGGGACAGCTTCTTCCGGATGCGTCCCCCTGGAGCGGGCTCCTTCCGCCTGAAGGGGCTGAGGCCAGCAGGCAGCCCCTTGCTCTTGACCTTCGGCTTCAGCTGGGCCACCTTGTGGGCCACAGCGGACGCCAGCTCGCCCTGCCCACTGCTCTTCTTGCACTGAACCTTGTCCTGTAAACGAGCAGGCAGGAGCGGCAGTCATCAGGGCCCCCACCCCGAGCCACGGTCCTGCCGCCCTCAGCCTGCCCTCTGCCAACGTTGGCTCACAGTGGCACCTCCTCGGGTCCTGTCTTCCGAAGGGGCCAAGGGGGCGCCTGGCCCTGGGACACAGGGCTTGCCCACTGGAGCCTCCCCGGTGCCCATCCCATCCCCCAGTCCTCAGCACCCCCCAGACTGCCCACCTGGCTCAGGCTCGGGGGAGGGAGACCACGGGCCCAGGGCCTCCACCCTCCACTCTCACCCTGACCTTCTGCTTCCTGCCCGGTCCCCACTGCCAGGCAAGGCCCCACAGCGGGATGGAGAGAGGGTGGAAGCCCAAGATTCAGGCGGGAGCTCCAATCCTTGGGAAGGGAGGGTCTGGACTCCCTGTCCTCTCTTGTCCTGACGCTGCTACCCTCTAGCCAGGGCCCGGCTTTGTGGGCCAGCCGAGAAAGTGGCTGCGTGCAAGTAGTAGGATGGGGCTTCCAGGGCTGGGGGCTCGGGGCCATGTGGCCCCAGGGAAGCAGGGGGCGGCCTTGCCAGGACTCCCCGACAGGGCCACTGTCCAGACCCTGGCCTCAGTGGGGGGGCCCAGAGAGGACGGGCAAAGTGGCAAGACGTTCAGCCCCGCCTCTCACCTGTCCCTCCCAGGACCCTGGAATGCGGGGCGGGGGGGCAGGAGGTGCCCCCTGCACCCAGAAGGAATGGTCTGTGGCAGTGTGAGAAAGCCCGCCTCCAGGGAGCCCGCCCACTACGCAAGGGGTTGCGCCTGGCACTGTGGACAGCATGGGCCCTCACTGCTGAAGAGTCTTTCTGGAACCCACAACAGCATGTGTTCTTTTTCTTTCTGCTGGAGCGTGCTGAGGCAGGGGGCCCATCACCAGCCCCAGCCACGCCTGTGGGTTTGGGGGCCGGCCTCTGCCGTGGGCCACCTGGAGCTCCCCGGGCCTCGGTTTCCTCATCTGAGCAGGGGGATCCCAGCTGGGGGCTGGCACGGGGCAGGTGCGTGGCCTGCTGCGGTCTGCCCGACACCCCGCACCCCCGAGCCCCCGAGCCTAGGGCGAGGCTGCCGCAGTGCTCACCACAGAGGCTGGCTGCAGGCCCACATACACGCCGGACTCCAGCCGGTTCCGCTTCTTTGGGGGCTCGTCCCCGCCCCGCAGCTCAGCACACAGCAAGCTCAGGCTGGACCGCACTGCCCTGGGGGCATGGGGTGCAGGTGGGCAGGGGCGAGATGCAAGCACACCTCGGCACCCTGGCCCCGTCCCCCGCAACGGGCCCTGTGGTGGCAGCCAAGAGACCCCGCCCCCTGCCCCCCTGCAGGCTCTGCTTCTTCCTGGACAAGGCTGTCTTCCTGTGCCAGGCCCCTCAGCACATGCATGGCTGCTGGGTGGCCCAGGGTGGCCAAGCCAGTGCTGAGCCCTCCACCCCCCTCCCCGCCCGGCACCTGTTTCCCAGACAGGGCCTCTGCTCGCTAACCGGGGAGGGGCAGCCCAAAGCTCAGGAGCCAGGGCTCTGTGGCCAGCTGGACCACTATGTGACCGAGCTGTGGCCTCAGTCTTCACACCTGGAAAATGGGGACGGTAACTACTGTGGCTCCCTGCAAAGCTGGGGTGGGGCCACATGGGTCCCAGACCTGGCCCTCGGTGAGTGCCAAGGCCAACTGCCCCAGAGTTAGGAACAAAGACGGTGCTAGAGAGGCTCCTGAGAGCCGGGTCCCCTCCCTCTTGCCCTGCCACTGCCAGGAAGAGGACAGGGTCCAGTGGCCAGAGAAACTCATGTCCAGGCTCAGCCTCCCAGCCTCCAGGGACCCCAACTGCTGGGCTCACACCCCGTCCTTAATTCCAGGTCTAGAGGGAGGGGACCCTGCACTCCACGGCCCATGTCCCAGACAGGGCCCGGAAAGCTGCTGACACCAAGTCTCAGCGTCCCCGTGCCCCACAGGTGTGGGGCCGGGAGCTTGACTGCCTGTGGGGCTGGGCCTGTCACCCGCCCCGCCCCCACTCACATGGTGTTCATGCAAACGAGTCACAGATGGAGGCTGAGGGCCCCCGCTTTGGGGGGGCCCAGAGAGGCGGTCAGGCGGGAAGCTGGCTATGCAGGGACGCTGCCCACCCTCCACTCTCACCCTGACCTTCCGCTTCCTGCCCGGTCCCCACTGCCAGGCAAGGCCCCACAGCAGGATGGAGAGAGGGTGGAAGCCCAAGATTCAGGCGGGAGCTCCAATCCTTGGGAAGGGAGGGTCTGGACTCCCTGTCCTCTCTTGTCCTGACGCTGCTACCCTCTAGCCAGGGCCCGGCTTTGTGGGCCAGCCGAGAAAGTGGCTGCGTGCAAGTAGTAGGATGGGGCTTCCAGGGCTGGGGGCTCGGGGCCATGTGGCCCCAGGGAAGCAGGGGGCGGCCTTGCCAGGACTCCCCGACAGGGCCACTGTCCAGACCCTGGCCTCAGTGGGCTCCGCCTTGGCCAGTGGCTGGCTCGCAAAGGGACACCCTGGGGGTCCCCTGCTGGGTGGTAACTGCACGGTGGGGGGAACGGCTCGGGGAGGTCCCCAGCCATGCGGCCGCGTCTGGCCACCGCCCACAGGCGGGGCGGACTCCCCCTCCCTGTAACCTTCTCTGCATTGCTAATGTTTTGTGACATAAAGCCCTGAGATTAATTTTTTGCCTCTGTCTTAATTGAAGAAACCATTTAGTGCCGATTTAACTATTATTACCAAATCATCAGGATTGATGCAGTGCGCACACCCGCTCGCCAATCACGCTTGCAGGAGCTCGTTGGATTTATGCAAATAGGTCTGCCGGGAGAGGCAATTTGTAGCCGAGAAGGACAATTATGCCCGGCCTGGGAGCGTGCCAACGAGTGCGTCGGGCGGGTAATGGATAATAACACGGCGCCGGCAGCGTGACCGACCAAGTCAGGCAGTGCAGACCGCGAGGCTGTTCCGAGGGGGCGAGGCCACGGCCAGGGTTGTGGACCTGCTGTGGCCACGCTCCAGGCCCGCCGTGGCTTCCGAGAGGAAACCACGAGCATCGGGAAGGGGACGTCTGCAGGGGGCTCTGTCCCCTGGACGCTCACCGTGCCTAGAGTTCTGGGAGGGAAGTGCTGGGTCTTTGGGGCAGCTGAGGAGGGGACGTCGGGGGGCCGAGGGGCGCAGAGGGGGCCTTGAGGGCCCCCCGGCCCCACCCCGGCCCGCGCACCCAGGACTTACTTGACTTTCTTGCTGTCGCCCCTGGGGAGCTGGCCCCCAGGACGCAGAGTGGGCAGCAGGCTGGAGTACTTGCGCTTCCTCGGCCGGCCGGGCCCTCGCCGTGCAGGGCTGCGCGAGCTCTCCTCTCTCCTGGAGGCCGCAGGGGGGGCGCCGTCAGAGGCTGGCGCCCACCCTGACTCCCCGACAAGGGTCCCGCAGAGGGCATGGGCTCTCGGAGGGCTGCGGGGGCGGGGCAGGCCCTCCCAGGGCCTGGCCTGGGGAGCTTGGCCCTCCGACGGGGGCTGGCTTCTCTGGGCAAGCACCTCGGCCTCCCACTGCGTCTGGGGGCCATCCCAGACCCCAGCTCCGGCCCAGCGTGGCACCCACGGGCGGCTCCCTGACCTTGAGGCAGTGGCCCTGGGCTGTACCCCCTGCCCCAGCCCTGCCAGCAGCACCGCCCGCCCCCGCTGGCCCGGGCCGTACTCGTGGTCATGCCTGCGCTGCAGGCGCACTAGCTCCTGCTGCTTCTCCTTATAGCGCCGCTGAAGGTCGGCCAGCCGCACGCGCATCTCCACCTCCTGCGTGTCCAGCCGGTCGATGGCGGCCTTCAGGGGGCAGACCTGGTGGGCAGGGGCACAGGGGCCCGTGAGCCAGGCTCGGGCCCCACGATGGGGGCGGCCGGGGGTGCTCGGAGGTCCCCTGGGGTTACAGCCCCATAGGGGTGGCCAGGGCCCCCCACTCACAGGCTTGGTCTTGGGGGTCCAGGTGTCCTTGCGCTGCAGGATCTGCATGCGGGGTGTGAGTGTGGGAGCCCTGCAGGTGTCGGCAGCTGGGGGCTGGGCGGTGGTGGAGGGGCTGTCCAGGCCGGCGGCCTCCAGCAGGGACCAGGCTGAGGCCAGCGTGGCCAGGCGCCGCAGGTCGAACGCCAGGGCGTCCTCTTCCTCTGCAGGGGACACGAGGGTCAGTGTGTGTGCAGGTGCTGGGCACATCCTGCCCCTCAGAGGGGCTCTTGATGTCAGCCTGCCTCTCTCTGTATGGCCCAGACCCTCCAGGCCGCCCAGCTCCCCAAAACACGAGGACCAAGGACCAGGGGGAGGTGGCTGGGAACGGCGAGATGGGCATGGGGGCAGGCACCCAGCACCCTGCCTCAGCTCCGGAGACATGGAGGGGGAACATCTCTCTTGGCTACTGTGGGCCAGGCCAGTTGGAATGGCACAGACCTACGGAAGAGCCTAAACCATTTCGGCGCTAAAGGAAGTGGCTTATTATGCTTCACACGAAAGTGCCCATGTGTTTGTGCCCCATGAACAGTGGGGTGAGACGAATGGCCCAGTGCAGGGTCAGAGCTGAGCCAGTGGAGGGCAGCATCCATCCAGGGGAGAGGCCTGGAGCCGAGACTCAGGATGGGGCAGGGTGGTGGCAGAGACGGGGAGTCAGGCCCGCAGGGGCAGGCTGATCCCAGGAGGACCAGCCAGGAGGAGCCCCGTGTGGCCAGATGGGACACCTGGGACAGAAGCAGTCAGTGGGCAGTGGTGATTTTCAGAACGTCCTGCTCTGCCCTCCAAGAGGGCTAGGGAGCAGCAATACCCCAGTTGCAATGAGCACCCCTAACACCCTGAACTTGGCTTCTAATGCCATCCTCCCAGGACAGGAACCGGGCTCCTTGGAGAAACGGCTGGTTCCAGGGCAGGGGAGGCGTGTAGTGAAACAGGAAGTGTCCGACAGGGACGGGGACACGTCGGTGCCCACAGGGGCCAGCTGAGGGGGCCCAGTCTGACATAATTCCACCATCAAAGTAAACCGTGAGAGTGGCCGATGACAGCTGGTCGAAGAGAGCGAGACCCCACGAGTCACACAGACACCAACAGATAAATGCGCGGGAGGATGCGTGAAGGGCGGGGACAACACCCTGCTTCACGCACCCCTCGTAAGATACTTGTTACGTGCACAGGGGAAGTGCCTGGCCACGGCCACAGCGCCGCAGGGAGAGCGAGCCTCAGCAACGGGACAGAGCAGCAAGGCAGGTGCCGGGAGCGCTCCGGACACCAGGTTGAGCTCCGGCCGGGCTGCGGGAGCTAGGGGGAGGCTGAGGGCACCCCCAGCAGCCAGGGCAGGGCTATCCCGAAGCCCTGTTTCAGCTAGAAGTTCCACACGGTGTCCTATCTGTCGGGGTCACTGTGGTGGCCAAGTAGCTCCTCCGCGCCCCCCCCCCACCCCTCAGACTAGGTGTGCCGAGACGCGTCCCACGGCTGAGCCTGGGGCAGGGCGGTGGGCACGGGGAGATGGGCTGGGGAGGGCTCTTCTCGGCTTCCAGCAACACACTGCGTGCTTCTCTAGTCCTGGGGGCTGTGGAGAGAGATGAGAACAGCCCCAGCTCATGCCTCAGGGGTATCTGCAACTCCGGGCCCTGGAAAGGCCTGGGCCGGGCCACCCAGACCAGCCACAGCTCTGCGGACACACACGAGGATGGAGGCTCAGGCTTCCCGCCACAGTCCTTCAGACAGGTGGGGGCTGGCAGGGCAGGGGTGAGGGTCAGCCAGCAGAGCGGGGTGGGGGGGGGGGGGGAGGGGCGCGTGGAGGTCAGCAGACCCGTTCAAAGTGGGGTCTAGGGGCAGGGTGGGATCTTGGCTCAGCCCATTGCCTGGTTTCAGGCTCACTCAGGAGGAAGGGGGCAGCCACACTCCGGGAGGGACAGGGCCTGGACTTCCCAAAATTCCAGGGTGGATGGGAGGCTCAGGTGGCTCCTCCAAGAGCGGGAATGTTCTGGGTGCCTCAGGGCTGGGCCCCTGCGTGCAGGCCTCACCATCCAAGGCCAGACAGACACAGGGTCTGACTACCAATCCCCTTTCCTGCCCCCAGGCTCCGTCTGGGGCCCAAGTCCCTGCATCTGGTATGGAGGTCTGGGGGCCAGACAGCCTACCCGCCGAGTTCCCTCGACCTGAGCCCAGGTGGGGGCAGGCCAAGTGTCCTGCAGCTGAGGCCTCCTGGGTGGGGCTAGTGAGGGTGACCATGAGCCAATGGCTTGGGTTTTGAGCCCCTGCCCCACCACAGCCCAGCTGCCAACCTGGCTACCTCCTTACCCCCACTTTCCAGGGGGCCCCTGGGGCCTTTCGCCAAACATCATGCCTGGCCTAGGGGGAGTTCAGGGGGTCCCTTCTGCGGAGGAGGGGGCAGGAGGCTCTGCTGTCCCTCTTGGCCCCTGCTTCCTGGGACATACTTCTCCCATTTTCACCCTCTGTGAATCTTCCTGCTCATCTGAGAACACAGCTGATCTCCTAATTCATTTCAGGCAAGGTGGTCACTGAGCTCATAGGGAACAGCTCTGGATCCGAGTGCGCGCAGACAAGCCAAT